ATTGGCTGGTTTGTACACATTATAACAAATAGGTCATCTTATTTACTATGTTAGGTTCTCCAACTTTGTCATTATTCTTCAGTTGCCTTCACTATTCTTAGTCCTTTGCTTTTCCATATGAATTCCAGAATCAGCTTCTCAATTTCTATAGGCATATACATATTTTCATTTTTTTCTTATACTGGAGAATGAAACCAGGGCCCTCTGCCACTGAGCCATTTTAATTTTTTTATTTTGAGACACGGTCTCACTACATTGCTGAGGCTGGCCTCCAACTTGCAATCTTCCCGCTTCAGCCTACTGAGTTGAGATTCTGAGATTATGGACATGCACCACTGTATCCAGTTATGTATTCATATTTTTAAATCACTGAAAATCTTATTGATTCTTACAAATAATTTGATACTATTTGACCTCTTTACATTATTGGATCTTCTAATTCATGAACAGAGTATATCCCTCCATTTTTATTATTAATTTTTATCAATATTACTTTGTGATATTTCAATATAAATGTCTTGCACATTTTTAGTTAGATGATAAGTATTTGACATTTCAAAAGAAGTTTTTGGAAGAGTAATGTTAGTAATGTTTTTGTTAGGTTATTAAAAAAATTGTAGTTGTAAATAGACGGCATGCCTTTATTTTATTTATTTACTTTTATGTAGTGCTGAGGATCAAACCCAGTGCCTCACATGTGCTAGGCAAGCGCTCTGCCACTGAGCTACAGCCCCAGCCCTTGTTAGGTTATAAAGTTCCCTTCTATGAATGTTGAAAGTTTGTTTTAATGAAGAAAAAATGTTGAGTTTTGTAAAATGCCTTTTCATACATAAAAATGGTTATTTTTCTATTAATGAAATGTGTTGGATTGATCGGTTTTCCAAATGTTAACTCTAACACTTTACTACTATTCAAGTCAGGGGCAGAGCCCACTGAGGCTGAGTTCCATCCAACTGAATAGAGGCTATTCCTTGAGCTTTGGGGCAAGAACAGGATCTTCCTGCAGCTTAGTTCTGCAGGTGATGAGTAGACTGATAAGTGGCCTGTGGGTCTCCTGGACATCCATCTCTAGGACTCTGGGTGACTCTATGAGTGAGACAATGGGGTCACAATATATAATGACCTATCACACTGGTCATTATATATTACCCTTTTTATATATCACTGCTTTTATTTTGTTAACACTCCATTAAATATTTTTGCATCCATGCTCATGAAACAGATTGATCCATGATTTTATCTTCCTGTATTGTCCTTTTCAGGTTTTTAACCAAGATTATGCTGGTTTCATAAAATGGGTTAATAAGTACTTTCTGTATTTCTATCTTTGAAAAAATGTGTACAATATTAATTTTATTGTTTTTCTGTCTATGTTGTGTTACTGAGGATTGAACCCAAGGGTTAGGAGTAGCATTCCACCAGTGGGATTCACCCCCAATTCTTTTTGTTTTGAATTTTGAGACAGAATATAAGTTGTTCAGGCTGGCTCCAAACTTGTGATCCTGCTGCCACAGCCTCCTGAGTACCTGGGCTACAGGCGTGTGCCACCACACCTGGCTGGTTTTATTGCTTTCTTGCAATACTTTATGGTAAAAGCCCACTGGTTATTAGTATTTCTTTGTCGGGGCTTTTTTCTCCTTTTATTTTATTATTGCAGTACTCAGGGTAAACCTAGTGCTTTGTACACGTGCATGCTAGGCAAGCACTCTATACTCCCAGCTCTGTTTTTTCTTTTCTTCTTCTTTTTTTTTTTTTAATAAGGGGGAAATCACAGATTCCTCCCAGAACCTCAATCTTTATTTATTTATTTTTTAGTTATAGATGGACACAGTATCTTTATTTTGTTTTTATGTGGTGCTGAAGAGTAAACCCAGTGCCTCACATGTACAAGGCAAGTGCTCTACCACTGAGCTCTAACCCCAGCCCATTATTTTTTTCTTTTTTAAATAATAGATTAACTTATCAGATTAAAAAAATGTTTTGGGTACTGGGAATTCAACCTAGGGTGCTTTGCCACTGGGCTACATCTTCCGCTTTTTTATTTTATATTTTGAGACTAAGATATTTTATACTTTGAGACTTTTTTAAGTTGTAGATGGGCATAATACTTTTATTTTATTTATTTTTATGTGGTGCTGAGGACTGAACACATGTCAGGCAAGCATTCTACCACTGACTTACAACCCCAGCTCTCATGAGACTCCTTTTTAATATTTTGGCACTAAGTTGCTTAGGGCCTCACTAAGTTGCTGAGGCTAGTCTGGAACCTGTGATCCTGCTGCCTCCACTTCCAGAATTGCTGAGATTACAGTTGTGTACCATGGTATCCAGTCCCTTTTTTGGATTTTATTGATTTTAGTAACTTGTATTTTCTCAAGAATTTATACATTTTATCCAATTTTTTAGTTATTGTTGTAAAGCTAGTAATTTCCTCTAATTATTTTAATATCTACAGGATGTAGACCGGTGTCATTTTTTTTCATTCCTGATATAGCTAGTATTTTTATTGACTTTTATTAATCTTTTTCAAAGATTTTATACTGTACATCTTTCAAATACCCAATAACTGTTTTAGTTATATTATATTACACAGAATACAAGAATGTTAATAATTCTATTTACTTCTCTTCTTTTGGCCTTAATGCTATTATTTTAACAAAAATTGTTTCTATATATATTTTATAAACTCAAAATTACATTGTTTTTATTTTTGTTTAAACGTAATTTATCTCTTGGAGAGACTTAACAATGTCTTACTTTTTTACCACATAGTTGCCATTTCTAGTGCTTTTTATTTTTTTGTGTACACCCATATTTCCATGTACTATCCAATTACACATCTATTAAGTCTCTTGAAGTTACCCTTCAGCTCATTAATATTCTATTCAATATTTTTTTGGGGGGTAATCAAGGATTAAATTCAGGGGCACTCAACTACTGAGCCACATCCCCAGCCCTATTTTGTATATTATTTAGAGACAGAGTCTCACTGAGTTGCTTAGTACCTTGCTCTTGCTGAGGCTTTGAACTCCCAATCCTCCTGTCTCAGCCTCCCCAGAGGCTGGGATTACAGACATGTGCCAACAGCCTAGCCTATTCACTATTGTTTGAAAGTTTCTCTGTGTCTCTCCCAACAACTCAAATGGCATATGGCACACAGTAGGTGGTTTGTAATCTTATACCACAGAGTAGAATTCCAAGGTCTGTTACAAACATTCCTATTCCATTTCCACAAATCAGTCCCTATCACAGCACATTCCCATAGTTTACATTTAAAATGTCACATACATTCTTGCTCCACCCATGTCAACCCCTCTCAGCTGAAAGCAGCCACAGTAGTAAGGAGGTCCTAAAATTACATGGGGGAATGGAGCCAGAATTAGGCAGATAGGCAAGGGTCAAATCCAGAGAATGGAGGGATTGAAATGTTAATTCCTTCAGAGCCCTTCTTCTACCCCTATTAAGAACCTGCCCCAGCTCCAACCCGTTGCTAAAATAACCTGTTGTGGGAAGCCATTCTAACACGTGATTGGGTGGCTCCCGTTAAGGGTCTGAGGCACTTTGGCAAAAGTCGAAGTTTTTCCCGGCCCTTTCCTGATGAGAGAGCCCATCCGTGTGGGGGTGTGCCTGACCACTGACCCCGGGGACCCAATCACTGACCCTGACCTTGGAGTGCAGCCCCCCCTCAACCTTCATTGGATGGAATTCTCCCCTGAATCTCTTGTTCCCCAATAAAAGGCTGATCCCCGGGGTGCTCGCTCTCTCTCTCTCCTGCTAGCCCTGAGTAATCCCTGCTGCCCTGCTGGGCGGTTGGAGGAGGGAACCAGAGGGGAGCCTCTTGGACCTAGCAATAGAAATAAGGTAATTGAGTCTGTGTTCTTATTTCGATCTCTTCTAACTAACTTTATGCCTAGAACCTCATTAATAAAACCACTGCGCAGGTCGTGTGGTAGAACCTGTCCCAGGAATTGTCCCTCCCTACAGGGAGTTGCAAATTAATTTGTCCTGGGCCCACTTCCTTCTCTGATCACTCTCTGACCCCTCCAGCCCACCTGTTTCCCAACTTTTGGCCATTCCACGGAGCATTTCCTAGACCGAGCTCGCAGGAAGAAGACAGATAAGGGGAAGAGACCAGGAGAACAAAGGAAGTCTAGGACATATAAAAAGGCAGAATACTTTCACTTCCTGGGATACCAGGATACCAGCTATGGTCCCTTTCTCCCTCCCTGAATAAGTCTATGTTACCCCTTTTAAAATAAACCCCGTTTTATATGCTTAAAAAATGTCACATACATGTAAGAATCATACATATGATCACAGAAATGTAGCGTGCTCACCCCAACACAAAGTTTCACACAATTACATTCACAATACAATGACACAAATGGTCATGTGTTCACACGGAAAAGCACCATCAGATGACTTGAGGGGGAGACAATAAATAAGAACTTTAAATACTAAGTGTTCTAAGAGAGTACAAAGATTAAGGAGCTGTGGAGTGTGAGGGAGAGGCGTCATTAGAAACAGCTTCTTTGGAGGTGTTGACATTGTTATCTGTATATATGCAGCAAGAGAAACTTCAAGAAATCTGGTAGAAGAGCCTTTTTAGGGAGAGAAGCCTTGCACACCCACTGTCACCAAATCACAAAAACAGGGTGACACTCTCTGCCCTATCGACGCCCCTCCCAGTCTTCACAGTAACCGTCCCGGCACAAGAGGCCCTGGGAAGAGGAACCTGGACTGGGCAGAAGCGTCGTACATCTGCGCCCTTTGCCTCCCTGCACCCCGTTTCTTTGAATATTCCCGCGCATCCTAAGAACTCGGCACTCACCCTCTGCGGTCCGGGCGCAAACCTCTTCCCCTGCGGCGAGCGCGCTCTCTAGGTTCCCCACCCAGGTTGCCAAGGGAGGTGTGTCAAGCACTTGTGTCTGCGCACTTCAAACCCAAACCGTCTAATGTGACCCTCCGCCCAGTCCCCGTGCCCGGCACAGTAAGAGACCAGAGAAATCAAGACTTTCGGACACCGCTCTGGAAAGCCAGGGAGCGGCAGGAGTGGGAGAACCCAGCCCGGAGTGGCTCCCGCCGAGCCGGACTCAGCAAGGCTGCGGCCTTTTCTTCCCCCGGACTACGTTTCCCAGCGGCCCCCGCGGGAACTGGGCCGGCGGCCTCTTTGTGTCCTCCGGGGCCGAGGGAGTTGAGGTGCTTCTTTCCTGGCCCGCTAGGCAAGGTTCCGTCCAGCTGAGCGAGGCGGGCGAGGCCCGAGTGGCGGAGACTCCCCGAACCTTGGGGCGGGAAAGGGATCTTCCTGCAGTTTAGTTCTGCAGGTGAGGGTGTGGGCCGAGAAATGGCCTGTGGGTCTCCCGGGCTCCCGTTCCCAGGTCCCCTGAGTGACTCTACGTGTGAGACCGTGGTCGGTACCGAACCTTGTGAGAGTGTCACCCGATGTGCGTGACCACGTCGTGTCTGTGTGACTGTGGGTGCGAGTGAATCGGTGGTTGGTACCGAGAGGGTGAGATTGAAAGGGGCTGGAGTGGGTAGGTGTTCTCCACCCTCCGTGGTGCCAGTCCCCGTGGCCTCTTTGTGACTAGAGTGTGTGACACCCCCCGCCCCTGATACCCTAACTGTTGGAGGCTTGAGGTGTGTGTGCGGGTGTGTGTGTGTGCGCCTGTTTGAGACTGTTTATGCCCCTGGCCTTTAACTGGCGTGTGTGAAGCCGTCGTTAACACTGTAATAGTTTTAAGATTTGGGGTATAGGAGGAACTGAGCGAGATTGTGTGCCACTCAGTGTCTTTTAGCCAAGTACTGTCAGTGTGCCACCAAATTTCGGAATGACTGATCTGTTGAAAAAGAGGACTGTGGAGTCAGTCAAACCTTTAGCTGATCTTGATGCTCTTATTTGTTCTTGTCTTTTATGTAAATGATTACACTCCTCAGAGTCTTTGTTAAATCTGAAAGTCATCTGCTAAATGATAAATTGGGATGTGATTTAGGAATGGATTAAACTTTATGCAAATAAATTCCTAGCTCTTCCTTATGCTTTCTTTATTTGAGGGAAGATTGCAACCAGAAGGAAGAGAAGCCTAAAAGTCTAGACTGGTAATTCTGGATGCTGCAAGGAAAGTTTCTCATGTTCCCTTTCCCATGTCAGTCAACTGAGTTCACTGCCATTTCTCAAGTGAAGAGCCAGGAGGAAGAAAGAATGGCTGTTGAACTTCTTAATGCCATGTACCAGGTGAGTTAGAATTTTCTCTTTCCTGAAGTACCGTCTTGCTTTTCAAAACAAACAAACATTAACTTTCCTTCTGCTGAAACTAGCCAATCATTTCACTTCTCAAAATTCTCTAATAGGGGCTAGGGATATAGCTCAGTTGGTAGAGTGTTTCTCTCATACATAAGGCCCTGGGTTCAATCCCCAGCACTGGGGAGAGGGAGGAAACTCTCCAAACTCTTGCCATCTCATTCAGAATAAAAGAATGGCCTGCAGAGCCCTACTGAATATCCCCCTTGACTTTATCTAATTTCACCCATTCAGTCAGTTCTTACTTCCATGTAATGAGTTAAATACTTTTTTTTTTTTTTTTTTTGGTGGTGCTGGGGATTGAACCCAGGGCCTTATGCATGTGAGGCAAGCACTCTACCAATCTATATTCCCAGCCCTCCAGATACATTCTTTTTTTTTTTTTAAAGAGAGAGTGAGAGATGAGAGAGAGAATTTTTAATATTTATTTTTTAGTTCTTGGCAGACACAACATCTTTGTTGGTATGTGGTGCTGAGGATCGAACCCGGGCCGCACGCATGCCAGGCGAGCGCGCTACCCCTTGAGCCACATCCCCAGCCCTCCAGATACATTCTTAATGCATGGCTTTGCACTTGCTATTCCCTCTTCCTGGCATCCTGTTCCCTCAGATAACAGATGCAAGCCAGCTTCTTCATTCTTCTCCTTTCCCATACATCATTCAAGCATTCAATGGACTTTTATTAAGAACTTATTAACTTTGGATACCACAGGGCTTAGTGCTGGTCCTCCTCCTCTGTCTAAACTCATTCTTAGATGATCTCATCCTGTCTCATAGATTGACATACCATCTATTATGCTAACAACCATCAAATTGTATACAGTTTAGACCTCTCTCCTGAACTTGACTTTTATATCTGACTGCCTACTCAACATCTTTATTTGGCTTCATAATATCTCAAATGCAAACATTTCTCAAATTGAGTGAAATGAGCCTATAGAAGTTTGGGAGCATGAGTGACATTTGATTCTCATTTTAGTAGGATCATTCTGGTTGCTGTTGAAAATAAACTGAATGGAACAAGGATAGAAAAAGGGAAATCAACTAAGAAACTCTTGTATTACACCCCTATCACAAGCTAAACTCTTCCATTAGGTTGTTCTGTTTGTTCTACCTTTAAAACATATCTAGAATCAGACTACTTTTTACTACCAGCATTTCCATTCTGTTCAGAATCATTTCTCACTTGGATTAATGCTATATTTCTCCTAACTTAAATTTCTACTTCCATTCTTATTCTCTTTTAGTCTTTTCTCAGTGGAGCAGCCATAGTAATCCTGTGAACATATATTTCATGATATTCTTCACTGGGATGGGGTGTGAATGGAAGTAATAAAGAACATAGACAACTCTTTCAAATTATTATAAGGGTAGGAGAAAAATGGATGATAACTTAAGGAAAAAGTGTGGTTAACTAGGTTTCAGAATAGTGGGTGCTATACTTTGGATCTTGAATGTCCCCCAAAGGCCCACGTGCTAAAGTCTTGATCCCTTGCCTGTAGCACTAGATGGAGGTGGTAGAAGACCTTAGTCATTAGTGGTATGCCCTAGAAAGGGATTTTGAGACCCTCATCCCTTCCTCCCTCCCTCCCCCCCTCTCTTCCATCAGGTGATACACTTCCACTATGATATAATGCACAGTCACAGTTTCCAGCACAGTAGGGCCAAGTGACCACGGACTGAAACCTCTGAAACCAGGAGCTGTTATCATAATTTGTTAGAGGTTAAATGTTTTAAGTTTAGAATTTAAACTCCTTATGAGTTTATTATTACAGGTATTTTGTTTCAGTAGCAGAAAGCTGACTCACACAATGCATATGTTTTGTAGCCTGATGTTAACAATTCAGTAGAAAGGGACATTTTGAAGATAAAGGGAAAGGAGGGAATTGCTGGAAAAATGTGCTTGAGTAGGTAAGAGGAGCTGAGAGGTTAGCCTTTTCTAGGAAAATGAGCTTTCATTTATATTAATAGGGGCAAGTTAGAGTATGTAGGTATGGTCAATGTATCGGCGTTAAGGGAGTTTGTGGAATTTCTCTTCAAATGGCTTTTGTTTTTAATAGTGTCAGTTTGTTTTAAAATAGACTAAAAGAGGACAAGAATGGGAGTAGAGATTTAAGTTAGGAGAAAAAACAAACAGAACACCAAATCATCATATGAGAGTCAGGATGGAGGAGAAGGAGGAATTGAAGATTTGAGGAAAAATATCAAGTGGTCATTTAAAGGAGTGAGGAAACAAACATGCTAGGAACTGTATCATGTAAGAGAGCATTTTGGTTCACTTGAGATTAGTGATCATGGATTTAAAGTGAAACTAGTTAGCATAGTTGGGGTAATTTTCTCCAGTGAAGTTCAACTCTGCTGGGTGTAGGCACAGAGTAAGTGGACAGATGGCTGTGGTTAACCAAATCAGTACAATCAAAAGAAGGGCAGGGAAGTTGAGGTTATATATAAGGGATGGTTATCACAAATTGTTATGTTACAAAGTGAAGTTGTGTGGGATGAGGAATAATGAAAATGTGGTAAGATCATTGAATTATAAGTTCTAGTGGGTTCAGAGTTACCCTGACTGGGTATTAAAGGGCAACACTTGAAATATAGGAGGTATAAATCAGAGTAGGACAATGGAAATTATGGAGGCATTGGTGCTTACTGATAAGGTCATGAAAGTAAATGACTATGGAAATATGGAGGACAAGATTATTGTAGCAGGGGAGTACTAACAGACCAAGTTGTTGGGAGTTACTTATATGGATATTGAAATGGCCAAATTTTATGAGAAGAATAAGAGTAACAATGAACCAGGTGCTGAAGTGTTCACGGAGTGACAGAGATACCTACTGGGAATTGTTAGACAACTAAAATAAGGAATGATGGTGAATGACATGGTCTGATTTCATGAGGTTTAAAACTAACTGTCTTTTAAAAAGGAAGAAGGGGGAAATGGAGAGGTCACCTGCATCACTTCCAAATACCATGGCACAAGAAATGTGGGAAATAAGAGTCATCAGATGACAGGGCATCAGAGAATTAGTCTACTTAGCTGGAAGCCATGTTTTTCTAAGGGCAAAAAGTGAAGGGAACTATTTTTTGCTTCACACTGGTTTGATTAATAATTATGAATGAATTTTGAGGTATATTTGTCCTTCAGAATATCTGGAGTATTCGTTCCAGGACCCCTGCCAATACAAAAACCCAAGAATGCTCAAGTCTCTGTCATAAATTAGTATAGTATTTCCATATAATCTCCCATATTCTTTTTTTTGGGGGGGGTTGTACTGGGGATTGAACTCAGGGGCACTTGACTACTGAGACACATCCCCAGCCCTATTTTGCATTTTATTTAGAGACAGAGTCTTAGTGAGTTGCTTAGCACCTTGCTTTTGCTGAGGCTGGCTTTGAACTTATGATCCTCCTGCCTCAGTCTCCTAGGCTGCTGGGATTACAGGCGAGCACCACCATGCCCAGCCCTCTTATATACTTTGAATCATCTCTAGATTATTTATAATATTTAATACATGCCAAATGCTATGTACATAGTGGTTATACTGCATTGTTTAGGGAATAATGACAAGAAAAAATATCTGTACAATTCAATACAGACAATATTTTCTCCAAAAATATTTTTATCTTAACACAGAACACACAAATATGAGGGATAACTATATTATTATAATTTGTTAGGGGTTCAGTGTTTTAAGTTTAGAATTTAAACTCCTTATTGGTTTTTATTTTTGTTGACTGTGTATATTAATTTAAATCAAAGAATCAGTGAAAAATTTCATATATAAATATGTATACATTTACTATATATGTTTTTATAAGCTAAGGAAAACATTTTGGTAAGAATATATACTATACCAGCCAAACCGTTAGCCATTGCAGAGAGGGAACTATTCACATTGTACTTCATATAATTGAGGGGAAAATGTTACTGAGTTGAAAAACTCTGGGAAACTTTTGTTTCTATGGGAACAGTTCCTTTAATGGAGACAAAACTATCAAATGTAAGAAAAAGTCATTTCTTTTTATTGCCCTTGACATAGTCACATCTTTTACTTTTGTAAAAAAAAAAATTAATAAAAGTCCATACATTATATTAGTTTCAACAGCAAGTGGTCACATTAAAGAAACACATATTTCTTTTTTCTTTTTTTTTTATTTTAGTTTCTTTTCTTTATTTTTAAATTTTTAAAATATTTTTATTTTGTTTATTTTATGTGGCGCTGAGGATCGAAACCATGGCCTCGTACATGCTAGGCAAGTGCTCTACCGCTGAGCCACAACTCCAGCCCAAAACACATATTTCTTTACACAAAAACTTAAAAATCTGGATTGAAGTATTTGAATTTTAATGGAATTGATGATTTGCTATGCTTGGTTTTTAGAAATATGCCAAGTACTTCCTGATGTCACTTTTTAAACCCCTATAGTTCTTGAAATTTTCGAACAATTCATTCATTAATTCAGGTTATTCGGTATCTGAATGCCTCATGTGGATCACATGCTGTCCTTTGAGGATATACCAGTGACCAAAGCAAAAGCACTCTGCCCTCATGGAGGTTGAATTTTAGTGGGGGAAAGAGAACAGACAATAATAACAAAATAAGTACTTTGAAGGAAAATAAAGCAGGGTTATGAGAACAGGGAACTGGATTAGGAGCATGGCTGTGTGTGTGTGTGTGTGTGTGTGTGTGTGT